ATCGATGGTGATATCGATAGTGAGACCGATCGAGTGAGACGTTGGTTCCTCCCCCCCGAACCTCCTTATCACCTGAAAGGTGGTCGTATAGGTAACGTTATGCGTTCTCATTCCTCCATACTTCTTTCTCATCATTTTCGCCATGCCCTGCGCATTCCCCTATCCTCCTCAGCTTTTTCCCGGAAAGGGCATAGGCCCAGGGCTCTCTTTTAGTATGTAAACAATGTCCCCGTGCCCAAGTTGAAGGAGGCCGGCGGATTCCTTCCCTGATGAATATCGAGGTCGAAGGAGGCCGGCGGATTAAAATTTGAGGATTTCTCAGGCGAAACGCTTGTTTTTGAAATCCCGATCGATAAATCACAGGGTGCGGGACACCTCAGCACGACCCCACCCCAGCACGACCACACCCCAGCACGACCACGCCCCAGCACGACCACACCCCAGCACGACCACACCCCAGCACGACCACACCCCAGCACGACCACACCCCAACACGACCACACCCCACCACGACCACACCCCAAACACAGGGTGCGGACCACCACCCCAGCACGACCACACCCCAGCACGAGCCCCAGCACGACCACGCACGACCACACCCCAGCACGACCCCACCCCAGCACGACCAGCACGACCCCACCCTAGCAAGACCACACCCCAGCACGACCACACCCCAGCACGACCTCACCACAGCACGACCACACCCCAGCACGACCACGCCCCAGCACGACCACGCCCCAGCACGACCACGCCCCAGCACAACCACCCCCCAGCACGACCACCCCCCCAGCACGACCACCCCCCAGCACGACCACCCCCCAGCACGACCACACACCCAGCACGACCACTCCCCAGCACGACCACACCGCCTTGGTTGAGTGGTTGCCTGTCGTCGTGGAATGTTTCGTGGGGTGTCTCGTGGAATGTTTCGCGGGGTGTCTCGTGGAATGTTTCGTGAGGTGTCTCGCGGAATGTTTCGTGAGGTGTCTCGTGGGATGTTTCGTGAGGTGTCTCGTGGGATGTGTCGTGAAAACGTGCCCATGCTCCACATGTCTATATCCCTTTCCTGGTTCGTGGGTCCATCATGTTTTTTGCGGGGGGTCCTCCTTGGAGAGAGGGCTTTGGGGGGCCTCGCAAAAATTGTTTCAGGCTTTCTTAAAAAGCCTTTTGGAGGCCTCCTGGGTGTATTCTGGGAGCCTTGCGGGGCTTCCTCGGGCCACCATGCCTCCAACCGCGGTCTCCCTGAACGACCAGGTCACGATTTGGAATGATTCGGAGGGTGTCTTGGGGCCATCTTGGGTCGCCACTGGGGCTCTCCGACGGCCATCTAGGACCCGCGTTGTGCCGATTTGGGGCTCTCTTGGACTGCTTGGAAACACTTTCGGATGGTTGTGGGGCGATTCTGGAGCCTCCCAGGCGGCTTCGGACGCCCGGAAGACCGCCGCATTGGAGCGTCGGGAAGCCGAAAAGAGGAGAACCCAAAAATTCACCAACAACCAATAGAAAATCAATGATGTTTGCCTCTCGGGGCTTTCTTTGAAGTGCTCTTAGAGGCCTCTTTGGGGCCGTCCTGGAGGCCTCTTGGGCCATCTTGAGGTCACGTCGGTCACTCTTGGAGCGCTGTTGTGCTGTCTTGGGGGTCTCTGGGACGTCTCCGATGACCCCCTCTGATCGCCCTAGGTGTGCTGGGAAGGCTTGGAAAAACGCCCTGCGAGGCCCGGGGGGCCGCTTCGAGGCCCGTCCGGAGGGTCCCCAAGCCCCAGATCAAGGGAATCAGTTTTTTGCGGGGGACGGGGTCCCCCCGCCCGGGCTTGGTAAAAATATAAGAATCTCTTTCTCTCCTCCTCCTCCTCTTCCTCCTCCTTCTCCTCCTCCTCCTTCTTTGACGCTGCTTAGCCCGTATTTTTCGGCATGATGCGCCCATGCATTCTTCGATCTGATATTCTTGTTTCAGAAGAGTTGTCGACACGCTTTTGGCGCGTCGTGGCCTCCTCGTTTGGAGTTGGCTGTTGTTGACGGCCCTGGACGTCTGTGCCGATGGCGCCGCCTCTTCGTCGCCCGCCTCCGGGGTGTCAGGGCGCACACCGTGAGCCGCCGACCCCAATTGAGCGACGTATGTTTGATTCGTTTGTTGTCGGGTGCCTTTCCGAGTGCGACAGGAAGGGTTCAGGTGAGACATCCAGGCCTGAGCCTCGCCCTCTGGACTCATGATTCTCTGTTGCACCTCGGACTCCTCTCTATCGAATGGCCTTCCCGCCACTGTGCCTAGGTTGTAGGTATAAAGCCTATTGGATGTTCGTTGGGATTTCGTGGTGGACCTTTTTTCCCGGAAAGGGCTCGAGCCCAGGGTTCTCTTTTAGTGGGTTTACCCCCCGGTTTCGACGGGAGGTGGGCCGGCGAAATTATTCTGCGATAAATTACGTGCGGGAAGAGGGCCGGCGAAATTATTTTTGAGGATGTCTCGAGCGAAACGCTTGTTTCTCCTTCGAACCCACGAATGAATGGCGACGTTTTTCCATCTTCCGGACTGGCGACGACGAGGATGACGACGACGATGACAACGACGACGGTGACTACGATGACGTCGACCCGACGACGACGACAGCGTCTTCCCCGCGCCGACAGGGTCGGCGGATTTGAGACGACTGGTACCTAGATCACCCGCGGGAGCGCGAAGATAAACGTGCTTCGCGCGTCGCGGTCTGGGCCAGAGCGGTTGCCCTTCTCCATGGTGGGGCGGCTCGATGGCGCGAAGATGCGTAATCGGGCGTCGCGCATCGCGGGGTGCGATGCGCGAAGTTAGGTGGCCTAGAATACGGCCAGGCCAATCAACTGACTTTCCCACCTCTCTGCCAAGCCGCATATTTGGGCCCAAGTCACAAGGTGCCGCTTCGTCGATCATTCTGGCTGCCAGCCAGTCGCACTGGTTGTTTTTGGAGATGGACCTCATTTCGACCGAACAGGTCGTGGCGGAGTACGTCTCAAGCGTCGCGCCCAGTTCGTCGACCTTGGGTTTTTTGACCCTGGTGCCGTGGAGCTCGCAGGATCTGCCAGCCAACGTGCTGGCCCCCGAAGCAGACCATGGAGAGATGAGCCAGGGCAGCATCAACCAGATGGTGGAGCAGCACGAGGTTGTGGTGATCCCGTCCGTGTACAAGACAAGGAAGGAGAAGAGGGGCTTGACGCGTCTCTTGGACTATCTGAGGGCCGCGCACCCTGACGCGTTCGTGTTCTTGGTGCAGCTGCCAGATCGGTTGGGTGCCGGGCTGACCAAGGGCTATCTCCGGACCTTGATGGCGAGGCAGGATGCGCTCTACAGCTTTGGGGCGAGCGGAGTGCTGATGGAGCTGGAGGGTGACCCAGAGGGCTTGCTGCAGAAGGTACGTTTGGAGCTTGCTGAGAACGCCGCGATCCAGCTGCGTGTGCAATACCACGAGAGCACCGCGACAGCGGGAGTACCTTCCTCCAACGAGCTCCAGACCATCGAGGACGAACACGACGGTCTTCTCTGGGAGACCATCCCGCAGTTGCTAATGCCCGGTTTTCCTGATCTAGACAAGCGCTTGCTGGAACTTGGGGACAGGGTTGGGGAGTTCCGGTTGGTGCAGCAGTACGCAAATCACCAGCACGTTTTGTTGGCGGTTAACGGGCAGCACGAGAATGTCGTGATCAAGACTCGCAATAAGCGGAGCAGCACCGCTGCCGAGGAGGTGGAGAGCGTCTACCAGGAGTTCAACCTCCTGACACACACCCTCGACCACCCACACATCATCCGCTGCGTGAGCATGCTGCACAGCCAGTCCTATGTGCACCTGGTGCTCCAGTATGGCGGCGACTTCTGCATGGAGCAAGTGCTGTCGATTCAACCAAGCCGCCATTTGTCCAGGGACGATGCCGTGGACTGCACCATCCAGATCGCGAGTGCTCTGTCCCATTGCCACGCCAATGATGTTACTCACGGGCAGGTGTCGCTGAGGCATGTGTCGGTAGAGATGGCGAGGAATCGGCTCGTTTGCCGCCTGGTGGACTTCAGCATGGCAGCCCACGTTCCAGACTCCAGCACGCGGGAGACCATGTGCGGTTCTCTCCCGTGCGTCGCTCCGGAGACAGCGCTGGGGGAGCCGTACTGGCCCAAGCCGGCAGATTGTTGGAGCCTAGGGGTGGTGCTCTTGGAGACCGCTTGCGGGCAAGGCTCGCTCGAGCTCTCGGTGCCATGGCGCCGTTGCGCACACCACGTGAAGGCCATGCGGGAGATACTCGAGTTCTTCGCCCAAGCCGGCTCCCATGCCCAGGCGATGGCGAGCATGGACGGCGTGCACGACGGAGCGACGTTGGCGTGCCTGGAGGAGTTGCTGAGGCCCGAGCCCCTCCGCAGAGCGAGCGCCTCCGTCGCGGCGGACGTGCTGCAGCCAGGCGCGTGAAGGCCGCTCGTTGATGGGTGGTGCTCGGGGAACACATACTGACATAAACTGATGGGCCTGTTTTCCACCACCACCACCATAAGTTGGAGGGTGAGGGGGTCCTCCTCCGCCTCCTCCTCCTCCTCCTCCTTCCCCCCTCCAACTTATGGTGATGGTGGTGGTGGAGAACCGGCCCATTATAAACATCAGATTTCGGAGGTCTGCGCAGATTTCTCCGATCGGCACTAGAGCTCCCTGGCGGCGCCTCGCCTGGCGTGCTCCGCGCGCCAAGGAGAGGGGTCCAGCGCTGATGCAAGAAATCCGCGCAGACCTCCAAAGTCTTTGTTTATGCCCTATTTGTTCCCCGAGATGCGCCCACTCCTGGGGGTTGGCAACTGTCCCTCGAAGAAGAACGGCGCAGTTGCGGCTATCTGCGCAATTTTTCCATGAATTCAGTTCATTCTGGCTCCAGGCAGAATGGGTGTTTTCGCCTCAATGTTTCAAGCTACGCTGCGCTGTTCGCAGGCGTTCGTTTTCTGGCGTTTGCCTGAGCGTCTTGATTGAGTGACTCTGTTACAATTTCTCCGTCCCCCTTCTTTTTTACTGATTGGACAGCGTCTCTACAGGCCGCGATGTCGATGTTCGCTTTGCGAATACACGTGTGTCATCGACAATGGCAATGGCAATGGCATCCAGTATTTCAACTCGCTGACTCCCACAAGTGATTGTGCTTTGCAGCAGTCCTACATTCTCTGTGGTCGCAGTGGTAATTCGCAAGGTCAACTTGATGTAGTCCAGCGAATTAACAGCCGCTGTTGTATCTCGCACGCCTCTGCGCTTGGCGATATTTGTAGGCGTTCCGTCTGCCCCCCCCAAGACCTCTCTAAATGCATGGCCATGGCAGGAATCGCTTAAGGTGACGGAGGCAGAGGCAAATCCTCGCCCCGAGTAGATGACAGCCTTGCGCGGCAGAAAGCTCTGCATTGTTTTGTACACAATTGCGATGGGGGCCACGCCCAGGTCGGGGGATCGGGATGTGGTAGGGATAGGGACAGGGAGTGCCACGCGCGGAGATCATGTTGATAACCATCCTACTACTATCATCAATAGGTGTCACGCAACTGCGAACGCTAGTACGACTGTTAACACAGTTGCCTTCGGCCCATCCTGCCCTCGTTCCTGGGTTGTTGGTCAGAGTTCTCAGGGATGCTTCTTGGGGTCTCTTCGGGGCGCTCTCGGGCGCCTCCTGTGGGCAGCTCTGGGTCCTCTCGGGAGCCTCCTGGGGGCCTCGGTCCCCTTTGGGGCCTCTTGGGGGCCGCTCGGTGCCTCTTGGGGGCCGCTTGGACCCTCCTGGGCGGGTCCGCGGGGTGGAATTGTCCTTTCGGGTCACCCATCTGCCCGCCCCTCCCACTTTGGAGCCGTTGTTTGGCGTCTTGGGCGCGCCTTGGGCCGTCTCAGGGCCCTCCCTCGTGGGCCGTTTTGGAGCCCCCTTGGAGCCCTCTTGGGCCGCCTCGGGGCGATGTTTGGGGCCTCTTGGACCGTCTTGGAGCGTCGGGAAGCCGAGCAGGCGAGAACTCGAAAATCCTTCAACAATCAATGGAACATCAAAGATTGCGAATGCCTTATGGCCTGTGCCGCCGACCCTGAAGGGGGACGTCGACGACGACGGTGGCGGTGGCGGCGGCGGCGACGACGACGACACTGACGTCGGCCCGAGTCCTCGGGGATGCTTCTTGGGGTCTCTCGGGAAGGCTCTCGGGGGCCTGTGAGGAGGAATGTTGGGGTCTCTCGGGAGCCTCTTTATGGCCTTTGGGGGGCCTTTTCGGGTGTTTTGGGGGCCTCTTTGTGGGCTTCTTGGAGCCTCTTGGGAAGCTCTGGGAAGCTCCTCCTGTGAGCTTCTTGGGGCCGAGGGCTCGAAATGTCCGTTCGGGCTCCCCGTCAAGGCACGCTCTTGGAGCCGTCTTGGGGGTTCTGGGGCCGCCTTGGAGACGTTTTGGGTTGTCTTGGGGTTCTTTTGGAGCGCTCTTGGAAGCCTCTTGGGCCGTCTTGGGGCGATCTTGGGCGGCGGGAAACTGAAAAGGCAAGAACGCCCAAATCTGTCAAAAACCATTGAACAATCAATGTCTTTTTGCCTCTTGGGCCCTCTCGGGAATGCTTTTGGAGGCCTCTTGGGGCGCCTTGGATGTATCCTTGGTAGTCTGGGAGCGTGAAGGCGTTTTGGACCGATCGTTTGGCGATTGGGGCCCTCTTGGACCGTCTCGGAGGCCTCTCGGGGCACTCCTGGCTTGTTTGGGTACTTCGTGCTTCCCCGAGACCCCCAGGGGTGGATACGTATCTGACCCCCCCCCGGGACCCACCCACCCCCGACGGGGGAGGGATCAAAGGGAAGGGGCTTCCCTTCGATTCGATTGCGACATTGTGAGTTTTTTCTCTCGCTGACAGGCTTGAGGAGGGTGCAGCGGAAGGGGGCGACGCAGACGACGACTGACGGAGACGACGACTTCGAACAGACAAACCCCTCGCACACGCCAGCAGGGTCGGCGGAGTGGCGCTTGCCTATGTTGACGGGCAAATTTCCATCACCACTACCACATGTAGGACGGGGGAGAAGGGAGGATGAGGAGTTCCTCCTCTTCTTATTATTATTCGTCTTCTCATTATCGTATTATTCGTATTATTGTTCTTATTAGTATTCTTATTATTATTCTTATGATTCGTCTTCTTCTTATTATTATTATTCGTTTTCTTCTGATTATTCTTCGTTTTTTTATGCTAGTCGCGTGTCCTAACAGTGGAGAATGGCCGGTGAACGGCCCACTGCCGAGCGACGAATGAGTTTCCTAGGGCAGCCCGCGAGGCGTGCATTGTGTTGCACCCGCAGCCCTCGCCAGCAGGTCCCACACTGCTGGTGTTGCGAATCAGTGGTGGGGCCGTTGAGGCCATGTAGCTCTCCTCATGCTCCTCCCGATCCTGCTTCCCCCCCCTTTCCTTCTTCCTTACTGCCCCCGCTCTTGCTCCTGCTCCTCGTGCTCCTGCTCCTGGTGCTCCTCCTCCTCCTCCTCCTGCTCCTCCTCCTCCTCCTCTTCCTCTTCCTCCTCGTCCTTCTCCTCCTCCTCCTCCTCCTCCTCCTCCTCCTCCTTCTCCTCTTCTCCTCCCCTCCTCCTCCTCCTCCTCTCCTCCTCCTCCTCCTCCCTCCTCCTCCTCCTCCTCCTGCTACGTCACCTGTAGCGCTTATAGAATCCCTTAGAATCCTCCTCCTCCTCCTCTCCTCCTCCTCCTCCTCCTCCTCCTCCTCCTCCTCCTCCCCTCTTCTTGCCCTCCTCCTCCTCCCCTCCTCCTCCCTCCTCCTCCTCTTCCTCCTCTTCCTCTTCCTCCTCCTTTTCCTCCTCCTCCTTCTCCTCCTCCTCGTGCTCCTCCTCCTCCTCCTCCTCGGAAGCGAGCAGCTCCGATCGAATCTGGCCGAGGCATGTTCGAAGCCTCTCAACCCTGTTCGTCGGAGGTATCTCGCGAATTTCGAGGCAGGGCAATGGCCCAAAGACCAGGGTTCGAACCGAGCTAAGCCCTCGTAGTTCGCCCTCTCCTAGTATCGCACCGCGATAGAGCCCATTCCATTCCATTCACTCCTCCTCCTCCTCCTCCTCCTCCTCCTCCCTCCTCCCTTCTCCTCCTCCTCCTCCTCCTCCCTCCTCCTCCTCTCCTCCTCCTCCTCTCCTCCTCCCCCTCCCCGCCTCCTTCCACTTCCTCTTCCCCTTCCCCGCCTTCTCCTCCTCCTCCTCCTTCTCCTCCTCCTCCTCCTCCTCCTCCTCCTCGTCCTCGTCCTCGTCCTCCTCCTTCTCTTCCTGTCTTCCTCCTTCTCCGACGGTAACACCAGTTCCTCCGCCTTTCGGGTCTTCGCCCTCGGTCCCTGTCCATGGCGTGCTTTCCTGCACATCCACTTCGGCGCCGCCTGCTCCCCGGGCCCCGCCCGCTCGGGCCGCCTGAGGCCCCGTAGCGCGTCCCCTTGGCACGTCCCGCGGTGCGTGCCCATGGCACGTCCCCTGGCACGTCGCCTGGCGCGTCCCTTGGGACGTTCCGCGGCGCGTCCTCCTGGCATGTTCCCTCTGTCGATTAGTTCTGGGGCAGCTACCATCTGCTCAGGCAGCTCGAGCTTACGCTCCAGATCAGTTCGGTGAGGACTCGGATGCCAGGGAGGACTCGATCCACAACGCTATATATAGAGCACAATCGCGGCATGGCACATCGCAGTTCAGCACGACCCAGCACAGCACAGCCGTCGGCACGGTACATCAAGATCGATACACTCAACTATGCACCTTGGCACGTTCCTTGGCGCGTTCCGTGGCGAGTCCACCTGGCACGTCGCGCGGCGCGTCCCCTGGCACGTCCCTCGGCACGTCCATTGGCACGTTCCGTAGCGCGTCCCCTTGGCACGTCCCGCGGTGCGTCCCCATGGCACGTCCCCTGGCACGTCGCCTGGCGCGTCCCTTGGGACGTTCCGCGGCGCGTCCTCCTGGCATGTTCCCTCTGTCGATTAGTTCTGGGGCAGCTACCATCTGCTCAGGCAGCTCGAGCTTACGCTCCAGATCAGTTCGGTGAGGACTCGGATGCCAGGGAGGACTCGATCCACAAGGCTATATAGAGCACAATCGCGGCATGGCACATCGCAGTTCAGCACGGCGTAGCACAGCACAGCCCTCTGCACAGTACATCATCATCATCGATACATACAGCATTGCATGTCCCCGTCGCCCAATCAGGTGTCTTTGAAATGTTGCAATGCCTTACATTTCTATATTCCTTGCCGGGTTCGTGGGTCGATCATGTTGAGGATGTCTCGAGCGAAGCGCTTGTGTTTCAGAATTTGTTGAGGATGTCTAGAGCGAGACGCTGGTTTTGCAGAGTTGGGGATGTCTCGAGCGAACCGCTTGGTTTCAGAATTTGTTGAGGATATCTCGAGCGACACGCTGGTTTTGCAGAGCCGACCGCGACACGGAAAAGCGCCCCTCGCGCAGGAAGTCTGAGGATGTCTCGCGCGTGCCGCGTCCCGCGCGCAGGGATTTTGAGGATGTGTCGACTAATTCGCTTGTTTTGCCAGGCTTTCTTTGGATTTTGAAAGGATGTCTCTAGCGAAACGCTTGTTGTTTCAACATGTTGAGGATGTCTCGAGCGAAACGCTGGTTTTGCAAAATTGGGGCATGTCTCGAGCGGGGGCCTCGCGGGGGGCCTCGTGGGGGTCCAGAATTCAGAGGATGTCTCAGGCGAAATGTTTGTTTTCACGTCCCGCTCGCAGGAATTCCGAGGATGTCTCGCGCGTGCCGCGTCCCGCGCGCAGGAATTCTGAGGATGTCGGCAGGATGTCTCGAGCGAAACGCTTGTCCCCAGCACGTTCCGTAGCGCGTCCCCTTGGCACGTCCCGCTGTGCGTCCCCATGGCACGTCCCTTGGCACGTCGCTTGGCGGGTCCCTTGAGACGTTCCGCGTCGCGTCCTCCTGGCATGTCCCCCTGTCAATTAGCTCTGGGGCAGCTACTATGTGCTGAGGCAGCTCGAGCTTAAGATCCAGATCAGTTCGGTCAGGACTCGGATGCAAAGGAGGACTCGATCCACGACGCTATAGAGCACAATCGAGGCATAACACATCGCAATTCAGCACGGCGCAGCACAGCACAGATTTCGGCACGATACATCAAGATCGATACACTCAGCATTGCAACTGGGCACGTCCCTTGGCACGTTCCGTGGGGCGTCCCTTGGCGAATCCACCTGGAACGTCGCGCGGCGCGTCCCCTGGCACATCCCGTGGCACATCCATTGGCACGTTCCGTAGCGCGTCCCCTTGGCACGTCCCGCGGTGCGTCCCCATGGCACGTCCCCTGGCACGTCGCCTGGCGCATCCCTTGGGACTTTTCGCGGCGCGTCCTCCTGGCATGTTCCCCTGTCAATTAGCTCTGGGGCAGCTACTATGTGTTCAGGCAGCTCGAGCTTAAGATCCAGATCAGTTCGGTCAGGACTCGGATGCAAAGGAGGACTCGATCCACGACGCTATAGAGCACAATCGCGCCATGGCACATCGCAATTCAGCACGGTGCAGCACAGCACAGCCCTCGGCAGGGTACATCAAGATCGATGCACTCAGCATTGCATTTGCCCGTCACCCAGTCGGGTGTCTTTGAAAACGTTGCCATGTGTTACAGTTCTATATTCCTTTCCGGGTTCGTGGGTCGATCATGTTTCAAGCAACGAAGGCAAGTCAATGGTTTTTGCCTCTCAGGGTTCTCTTGGGAGGCATCTTCGAGGCCTCTTGGGGCATCTTGGAGGCCTTTTGGGCCATCATGAAGCCATGTAGGGCGTAGGCAACCGCTGTTCCGAAACAGTCGCGCGAGAAACCGCGAGGAGCCCCAGGAGAAGATTTCGCGATGTGGGGTCTGGGTCTCTGACCGGCTCCTCAATAATGAAGACTGAGGTTGAGAGGATGATGGAAGGACCTGAGGGCGCGCCCACTCCGTGCCCAGAGGCACGGTGCCGGATCTACATAACCATGAAAATCTGATGATCATGGTTCTGACGGATCGCATCGCATTTCCGAGCTCCAATGGGGGAGCCGCCTGAGGGTATTTCAAGTTGCTTTTGGTTGGAATCGTAGGGGGTGGCAGTGACTCGGGTTAGCGGTCGGTGGATTGGGCGAGGAGGCAAATATTATCCAGGAGCAGCGATGACCCCATCTCCGAAGGGGAAACATGGGGTTGGACAAGGAATCGCGATTGACCATCTCCTGCCCAGGAGGAGGGGGGGGATCTAGGAGACCCCATGCGAGAAGTTGTCCAGGTCGGTTTCGGCGAAGCCATCATCGTTATTTCGGGCCTTGAGATGCCGCCTGCGAGGCGCTCCGGTCGGTCTCTCCTGAGACATCCCTGCAAGTGCGGGCTTCGAGATGCCGCGCGAGAGATAGTCCAGCCCATTCCGCTTAGACATCCTCGTCGCTGTCCTGAGGCGGTCCAGCTCTTTCGGCTTGAGACATCCTCGCAGTTGTAGGCTTCGAGGCACGCGATAGGACCATCCAGCTCCCCCCCCCCCCACACTCGCAACTCAGGGCCCATGGATGCTTTGACCTGAGCTGGTCCAGCCAGTTTCGCTTCACACTTCGTCACAACTCTGGGCTCGGATATGACCTGGCCTGAGGTCGTCCAGCCATATTCGCCCGATGCATCCTCGTTATTCTGGGTCAGTCGATGCTCTTGCCTCACGGTATCCGATCCCGTTTCCTCGTTGTTCTGGGTTGGCAGCTGCCGTGGACTGATCGTTTCGCTTGAGATCTCCTTGAACTCTGGGTTCCCGGTCCTTTTCGCCTGGGACATCGTCGGAGGTGTGTTTTCGGGGATGCCCACACCTGAGGTGGTTCAACCAATTTCGCCCGAGATCTCCCCTTTCTGGGCTCAGAGATGTCCTGCCAATGCTGTCGCCGATGACCCATTCGACAATTTGTGCCACTTGCCAGATGAACACTCGGGGAGACTGGAACCCTCCTTATTGCCAGACTCGGGGAGACTGGAACCCTCCTTGTTGCCAGACTCGAGGAGACTGGAACCCTCCTTGTTGCCAGACTCGGGGAGACTGGAACCCTCCTTGTTGCCAGTGGCAAATATGTCAATCGGGGCCACTTGTCAAACGGGCGAGGGTATTTAGCTGGGCACTATATGAGGCGAGTTGCCCGTCCTTTGCCGATGGGATTTGGGGAGGAAGTGATTATATTGGCTTACGCCACATCCGCCGACCCCTATATAAACTACTGCGTCTCCAGGACTGCATTTCACGAGGCTTGTCCGAATCATGACACGGCGCTCGACATCGTTCCTGTTGTTTCGTTGCTGTTATCGTATCTCTTGGTGCTCTTTTGCGGCCTGTTGGTGGCATCTTGGCCTGTCTGCAGGCCATATCCGGCTGCCTCGAGGCATCTTGGGCCAAGTTTGGGGGCCTCTTGGGGGCTTCCTGGGGGCTTCTTGGAGGCCTTTGAGGTTCTCTTGGGGGTCCCTCAGGGCCTCTTGGGTTGTTCTTGGGGCAGGCTGGGGGCGTCTTCGGGCCGAAGGCTCAGGTGCCCTGTGGGCTCCGTCTTGGAGCCGTCTGGGGGCCCTCTTCGGTTGTCTTGGGGGCTACGGGGGCTGTTGTTGGACCCTCTTCGACCTTTCTTGGTGGCCCCTGGGCCGTCTGGGGGCGATATTGAAGGTTTCTCTGCCCGTCTGGGACGTTGTGAAAACCGAATAGGCGAGCATGCGAAAAATGTTTGTTTTTTGGAGGGAATGAGGCCATTTTCTGTTTCCTGGGACTCTCCTGGGGCGCATCTTGGAGCCTTTGGGGGCGTCTTGGCAGCTTCGGAGGCTGCCTGGAGGCCATCGTGGGCGTCCAGGGCGATATTTCGGCGAATCGTGGCCCCCTGGGACCATCAGGGCAGCGTTTTGGTGCCTTCTTGGCCAGTTTTGGAGATCTCCGCTCCCCCGTGACGCGTTCGGTCCGGGCTGGGCTGGGCGAGGACGGGAGCGTCCAATTGCCGGTTTGGGGTCCTTGGGGGGGATTATGGGGGGGATAATCTCACACGCCTAGAGACCCACAAGGGGTCGGCGGATT